GAAGTGTACCTCTGGTGCAAATTACTGACCTCTGTCATCATTTTAAGTGGGGGAACTTGCACAATCGGTGGCTGACTAAATACTTTTTTGCCCCACTCCGGGCTACAGGCACATCAGGCCTGTGGATGACTGGCCACGCCCAAGGTGAAGCCAAAGGAAAAATATGCTTCAGCAGATTTTCTAGTCTTTGGCTTAGAATGAAGTTGGTTTGGAAACATATTCAGCGATGCTTCATTTCCTGCTTTGCGTTTGTGTGGGCGCCCGTGCTAGCAGTGTCCAAGCGTTCTTTTTTTTCCTTTTCATACCGCGCCCCCCTGCAATGGCTCTGCACCCCTCTTAGGGAGTGGGCCCCACAGTTTGGGAAGCTCTGGATTAATCTATGCCAGGTAAAAAGTGTCACATTTAACGTGAAGCTGGATTTAAGTAAAAAGTGTTTAAAGTCTCCTCCGCGAATCGCTACCTTATCGTGGTGGAGGGGTTTGTGTGTCCCAGGGGCTATGTTGTCTGGGGGCTATTGCCCCCTCGTAGGGTTTCCCATGGCAAATTGGTCCTGAGTGAGGGACCAGACAAAGAGCGATTCATAAGACCCTTATGAGGAAAACATCCAGGGAACAGTTTACCCTGCCCTGGATAGGGTTACCGGGGCCCCGCCCTGGAGCCAGGCCCCAGGAGGTTGCCCGAGCGCGAGCGTCTGGTGACTGGGCCTTAGTCCATGGGGTGCAGTTGGGCACAGCCCAAAAAAGGGACATTGGCGCATCTTCCTGCAGACCCACCACCCACAGAAGGCACCGTCAGGGTTGGGTGCAATGTGTGCCGGGCGCCGGCCAGGAGCAAAGGCCCTGGCGGTCCGATCCGCAGCTACTAAGACTGGCAATTGGGACATGGAATGTCTCCTCTCTGGTGGGGAAGAAGCCTGAGCTAGTGTGTGAGATTGAGAGGTACTGGATAGATATAGTCAGGCTGACCTCAATGCATGTCCTGGGCTCTGAAACCAGTCTCCTGGAGAGGGGCTGGACTCTGAACCTGAGCGGTGTTTTGTTATTGGACTTAACAAACACCATGTTCGAACATAAGAGTGTCCATAAGTGCACGTGGCACCAGGACACATCTGGTGGTAACCCCTGAACCAAATGGAGGACACCTGAGGTGAGGGGAGCCACCAAACTGAAGATGGAGTCCTACCGCGCTTGGTTAGCCTGTGGAACTCTGGAGGCAGCTGATAGGTACCGACAGGCCAAGCAGAATGCGGCGCGGTGGCGGAAGCAAAAACTCAGGTGTGGGAGGAGTTCGGAGAGGCCATGGAAAAAGATTTTTGGACTGCCTTGAAGAGATACTGGCAAACTGTCAAGCGACTCAGAAAGGGAAAGCGGTGTTCTACCTGCACTGCGTATAGTGCAGGTGGAGTGCTGCTGACTTCGACTGAGAAAATCGTCAGGCAGTGGAAGGAATACTTCAAGGACCTCCTCAATCCCACTGGCACGTCTTCCGTGGCGGAAGCAGAGTCTGGGGACGAAGGGGATGACCCGCCAATCTCTGGGGGCGAGGTCACTGAGGCAGTTAAACAACTTCTTGGTGGCAGAGCCCCTGGGGTGGACGAGGTCCGCCCTGAGTTCCTGAAGGCTCTGGATGTTGTAGGGCTGTCTTGGTTGAAACGTCTCAATGTTGCGTGGATATCAGTGGCAGTACCCCTTGACTGGCAGACTGGGGTGGTGGTCTCCATCTTTAAAAAAGGAGGGTGTGTTCCAACTCCAGAGGAATCATACTCCTCATCCTCCCTGGGAAAGTCTATGCCAGGGTGCTGGAGAGAAGAGTTCATCCATTAGTCGAACCTCAGCTACAGGAGGAACAATCGTCCTAGTTGTGGAACACTGGATCAGCTCTTTATCCTCTCGGCGCATGGGAGTTTGCCCAACCAGTCTACATGTGTTTTGTGGACTTGGAGAAGGCATTCGACCGTGTCCCTCGGGGTGTCCTGTGGGGAGTGCTCTGGGAGTATGGGGTGTCTGGCCCTTTGCTACGGACCATTTGATCCCTATACGACCGTTGCAAGAGCTTGGTCTGCATAGCCGGCAATAAGTCTGACTCATTCCTGGTGGGTGATGGGCTCCGCCAGGGCTGCCCTTTGTCACCAATTCTGTTCATAATTTTTATGGACATCATCAGTTGTATCATAATCTAACCCATTGGTTCCCAAACCTTTTTGCTGGGCCCCCCTTTGTTTTACAAGAAAACTGTTCGCGGCCCCCCACCACCTAAACATTATTATTTGTATCCCACTGTAACTTTACTGTATAAAGAGCTAACATGTCAGGAGTAGTCAGCAGTAGTAGTCTGGAACCAGAGTCAGGTTCCAGACTCTGGTTAGATCAGAGTCTTCAACCCCAACGGCAACTCACCTTGAGAAACAGTTGGCGTTGCTCAGCACAGAGTCCAAGGCCACCAGAGTCCCACCACACACATGACTTCCATTCTTCTGCAGGCTCGCCATCCACGGCCATGAGCCAGCTGTCGCCATTGAGGTTCCTCCCAAAATGCCAGAATTCTTCGGAGCTTGTCCACAGAATATCGCTAAAGAGAAAAACCAGAGGCAGACGCAAAGAAATGTTAAAATCTTTAACTATCATTTCAGGTCAGCAGGTTCAGACTTTATGAAAGCACACAAGTTCATCCTAGGATGGTTTTAGAGGTGAAGAAGCCACTTGGGTGTGAGGTGAAACACTTTTAAAAAAACAAAAACATTTTTATTTAATGTTAAAAAATAGCATCTATCACTGGAGAAAATGTGATTTTTGCCTGTGTATACTATCAGTTAAAGTTCTTAGAAAAAATAAATCCCAGTAGTTGGAGACTGACGGTGTTGGAGAGTAATGGAATACATGTACTGGCGTTACATATTTAAAATAAAAAATATGAGTAACTGTATTCCGTTACAGTTACCATTTAAAAAGGTGGTACTAAGAATACAGTTACATTGTTGAAATAAATGGATTACACAGCGGTCTTCTCCTGTTTCATATGTTAGGCTATGCCCTCTTTTTTTTTGGTAATTCCACACCAGTGGAAACCTAAACAAAACACGCATTAAGAGGCTCTAATGCCTGGGTCTCAATCTCACGGCCCATGTCACCCCTACTTTACCTTTACTTTTAAGTATTATTCAAAAAAAGCTACGAGCCCGACATGAACCCGACGTATTAGCCAGAGGTCCCTTTACTACGGTTCAGAGCCGCGGACCATATTAGCATACTAGTTTTCTACACGAGATCGCTGCAAAAAGTGCAGCCTTACCTAATGTCCACCATGCTGTTACTCGTTTTATATTATGATTTAAACATCTAGTTGGTCTTGGTATGGTGAGTAACCTTCAGTAATAGTAATAAATCTCACAGCAATAGTACACTCATGTAGTTGACATGAGTGTACTGATCATTGAGCAAAGCAACCCTCTGCTTAGCAAGTACTGAACTCTCCTGAGCGATAGCTAAGCTTTAAGGACCAATGCAAAAAGAAGGGCTTCTCCATTGTGAAAGATCCTCACCTTCCTCCCTTAGACTGTTTAATCTGTGGTCATCTTGTACGAGATATCACTTCATTAAATCTATAACATCCAGAATGTGCTAGACATGGGACAAAGTCAAAATAAATTCAGTGATCCCAGAGACTCTGTACATATTGCTGTAGATTTCAGTAATAATAGCCCATAAAATCCACCCAGTGCCTAAGGAAACACCTGTCTTAACGACTGTCAGCCTGTGGCATTGCCGTCTGTCATAATGAAGTGCTTCGAATGCCTTCTCCTAGGTCACATCAGATCAAAGATTTGTGTTCTTTGCCAGAAACCTTATCTCACCTGGAACAAAAAGGGCAGCTATGCCAGGATTCTGCTTATTAACTTCAGCCTTCAACCTTTAACACAGTCATCTGTAACTGTAACTGATGGTGAAGCTCTCTCTCTGCTAGGACTAAGTACCTCACTCTGTTTCAGTTTCAGTTGAAACATCTTACAGAGCAGAAGTGCAACCGTTAGTGAGCCGATGTAGAGACTGCTAGCTACTAGCTTAGCATAAACAGGAGGAAAGAGTTGATTGTGGGCTTTAACAAAGGCTGACATCCCACATCGGAGGGTCAGCAGGACAAAATTCCCAGGCATCTACATCAATGAAGGGCTTTCCTGGACTCTGAAACCCACACACCTGGCCGAGAAGGGGGTCAGCACAGCAAGCACTTCCTCAGGAGGTTGAAGTAAGTGAGGAACTCTTCCTCATCCTTGCTGCCTTAGGAGGAATCACTTCCTTAGAAGGCTTTTACCGAAGCACTACTCAGAGCATCCTGATGAGCTGCATCGCACCCTGGTATAGTGGCATGACTGACAATAAGACTGCAATGCAGGGTGATGGCTGAGAGGATCGTCTCAGATGCAAAAACAAGGGCTTCTCCACTGTGAAGGCCCCCTCGCTTCCTTCGTTCATCAGGTTCTTAAATCAAAAAGGCCTCTTTGTGTTTTCTGGTTTTTATTTATTACATTGTCTGTGAAAAATGTAATTTCAATCCAGTGTCTTATAATATGACTGTTATATGACAAAGGAAACTTGTAAACTGAAGTAAACACAACTCGGTATCAGCTGGTTGGAATCAAATAAAATAGTGATCAGTACATTTCTGATTTCAGGTGTGGTGGTTGTTGTAGGATTTGTGGGTTTTGTATTGGTATCCGTGGTGGTAGCTACAAAGGTGATGGTTTTAGGGTTGGTGCTTAACATACGTTTGCTGGTGGTGGTTGGAGGGGTCGTGGTAGTAGGGGTGGTGGTTGGCACTGGTGGCAGTCCTCAGCAGGAGACACTGAGGTCACTGTTGGTCCCAGTGGACGTGAACGTCATGAAGCCCGGCTGGTTGGAGGAGATCTTGCTGTTGATCCAGGTCTGGTACTGGGATACTCTGGCGTAGACTCCTGGAAAATTAGGCAAGGCGCAACCTTCCCCAAAACTGACGACTCCCGCCTGAATCCAGCGACCGCTCTGCTTGCTCACCATTGGACCTCCTGAATCCCCCTTTGAGAGCAGAAACATTTACTGTTAGCTGAGGAGAAGAAACTGTAGAAGGTGAAAATGTGCCAAACACAGGTAACAACAATCACCTGACAGGAGTCCTTTCCTCCTGCACTTAACCCGGCACAGATCATGTTGTCAGTGATTGTTCCCACTCCATAGTCACAGTTACACTGCCTGTTTCCCACAACAGGAACCTCCACCTCCATCAGGTTTTGTGGAGAAGGAAGGGGCACTGAAGGGACCCCCCAAAAAAGTCAGGTCAAAGAAACGTGATTGATTAAATGCACTCAAAGGATGGCTCTACCAAACTTAAAAACAAAGTGCAGTCATGTGTGCAAACAAAGACAGTGAGACATGTTTATCTGCTGTGGGTTCTCCTGTGCTGTTCCACTGGCTGACAGTTGGTGGCAGTAAAACACAAAGAAATGTGAAAAAGTGTCACAGTCCCAGGGTTCTTTACCGTAAAGGTTTATTATTAAAGTTTTTGTGGTTTACTGTATTTCTGTTTGTTAATATTATTTGTTTAGTTTGGAGTGTTTCTCTTTGTGTGTTGTGTGTATGTCTGATTCATTGTTAGCTACATCCTGGTGTATTTTGATAATGGTTTTTCTCTGAGACAGAAGTTTTACTTCCTTTGAATCGTTTTCTTGATTACTTTTAGCTGTTCTCCCAGGTGTTTCCTCCCCCCTGTTTTCTTGTGTGTATTTGTAGCCTCAGATCTCCTTTTTGTTGCATCATCACTCATGGTTGTGTGTTTCCTTGTTCCATATATCATTATCATAATGTGTATGATAATGATATATATAACTTTTGCATTTGTTAAATTTTAATTCTCTGTGTTTCTTTCTTTTTTAATGCGTCTCCACAGACCTTGACCTTACATAAGAATTTTATTGCTCAATTTATTTCTAAAATGGTACATTATACTCATCATTACTTAAAAAACGATCTGGTGTCTTTATGACCCACCTCCTCTTCCTATACTGCCCCAGCCGGTGACCCAGCTGTTAACACCGCTGTAGAAGATGCTGTCTGAAGCTGCCAGGCAGACGGGAGAAATGTAGTTGTTGAAAGTCACCGGTGAGGAGAGCTGCAGCAGGCAGACGTCGTTGTTGAAAGTTTGAGAGTTGTAGTTTGAATGTTTGATGATCTGTGTTACTGTCCGAGACACTGCATTGGGATTAGATCCCTGTAGACTCTGAAGGCCCAGATTCACAGTCAGACCG